TTTATTTAAGTCAACACTAAAAAGCTTTAATTATCAAAGCTAAGATCCAATAGTCAAAAAATATTATTGTTGTCCAAATCTCCACTTAAAAGATTCCTATTCCCTACTCAAGAATATCAGTATTGTATGGAACATACACAAGCTAAAAGCTGAACAGTGTGTCAGCTTTAACGTTTCTGTTGTTACTCAAGTAGCTACTTCAAGAATAACCAAGTTCTTTTTACTCTCTCGTACAAGGGCCACACTTATAAACACATCAACAGCAATGCAAGAATGTCCTACCTTCTTCAATTCCCAAAGGCTTGTACTTTCAGCACCACAGTATAAAGGACTTCGGTGCATAGGATCATAGGAAGCTCCACTCTTCCTGCCTGAAGGGTGGAGGGATGCAAAACAAATTTTCTCAGGCAACTTTACAAGAATATTATTCTCATTTCCCCACAAGAGTAATGCTGCCCATCACTCCCAGCTGGACAGGCCAGGGGTTCATCTGGCAGCAGGAAAAGGCTGCATTCAGCTGCCCTTCACAGTGTAAGATCAGGTGCACAAGCTAAATTCATGCCTGCTTCCAAGGAAGGCCCTGAAAAGCCCTGGCCTGTTCCAGAAGCCTTCTGGGAGGAGTGAAACTGGGCACAAGTTCAAAGCTGGACAAACTGTTCTAGCAGGCTTCACAAGCCAGAGAGCAGCTGCACATCCTAACCTTGGCTATACTGCTTGGAAGGTGCTTGAACATGGAAGCAAAGAACTCCAAGCCTATTAACAGCTAAGGCACAAATAATGTGTTTATTACAAACTGCATCGAGTGAAATACACTAGTCATAGAGTCTTTTCATCACTGCTGAGGTAACAGATAAATTCCTCTGACTGGTTGCTTTCAACCAAACTTCAATTTAAAAACTTATATAATGTTTAAATCACTTAATTTAATACAACAACTCTTGACCAACATGTCACTGTTATGGACTCTTAGCTGCTAAATTATATATTTTCTTGCTGATTTACCTCCCATATTCAGATGATGCACCCACGAGGCTGATGAATTTGAATTGCTTGTTTTAGCAGAACTTTCTATTGTACTTCTCTTTCCATCTTCTACTTCTTTGTCAGCATCTGCAAATTTTTCCTCATCCTCTTCAGCCTCTTCTTGATCCTTAAAGCACTCTTCATCATCTGACTCCTAAAAAACAAAAAATGTTAGCAAACAGCTTTACCTTTCCAAATTTACTCTGATTTTTTAGAAAAATGCACATAAAGTTCTTGAGCTACTTATAAAATCTAAACAAATGATGGTTGATGTTCAAGAAATACAGATTTTTGTCCTTGATAGAGCACTTAAAATTGAACTTTACTCCTTAGAACACACAACTACAATGGTCCCTCCCCACCTCAAGAAACATCTTAACAAATAGTTATTAATAAACAGGTTAGGAAAAGGTGCTTATGAAAACAGCTCTTATTGAAAAAGCAATGAGATAAAGAAATCATCTTATACCACATGATCTTGTAACTGGACCCTTAATTCTGGTTTTACTTTCAGAAGCTCAGACAGAAGGTAGAGGGTTCCACAAATGAAGGGTGGCATTTGTCCACAAGTGACTTGAAGTAGCCTCTTCACAAAGGCCTTCACACGCCGCAACACGACATCTGCCTTCAGAGACTTATAGACAAGATTTAGAAACATGGATGGCTTGGAGCAGGTTGCTAAAGCAGGATCTAGAAGCTTCCTGTAGAACACACAGGAGAAATTTTGCTGATTGTCACAATGGACACAAGAGAACAACTGCTATTAACAGCAATTATCTACATTTTTCAGAGTGCCAACCAAAACACTAGTGACAGTTTGCTGCTCAGTACTCAAAACCATTAAGATCAAGATCCTGAGCTGTCAAGAGCTGCCATGAGACACTGAAGATTCAAAAACAAACCAAAAAAAAATGGCCTCAGTAAACAAAATATTACAAGAAAATAACAAGAAACTGAGCTCAACTGAAAACAGTCGCGAAATTTGAGTTATTCAATGTTAACCTGATTTGTTCATATGTTTAAAAAAATAAACAGCAAATGGTTAAAAATCAGCACACTTCACAATCAGATCAGACATTTGTACTGGCAAGTTGATTTTCTGCTCCAGTTTTTTTCCAGGCTGCCAGGCACAGTAAGGCCCTTGAATACACTGCACATTCTCCAAGAACCTGAATTCCCTTTTTAAAAAATCAGCAACTTCCCTTTGGTCATCGAAACAGAAACCTGTAAGGATCCTATGAAGAATCTAAGTCAGCTGGGACAAGAAAAAAGCAGTATTTTTATAACACGAGGCTTTCCAGCTACACAAATTAAATCATCTGAAAAATTTAAGACAATATTCCTCCTCCTCAAAATAAGGGAAAAAAAAAAAAGGAAACAAGATTTTAGGCTATTTACAGGCCTAATTTACAATTACTTTTACCTGCAAAAGTGATTTCAGAAGAAATAGTTATCAATTAGTTTTAAATAACATCTGGAAGTAAAGCAAGCCGCCAGAAGAGTGGCAAAGGATGAAATGCATCTGTGTTCTCAGGGCCTATCACTACCTTTTGTTTTTATCCCCATATTAAGTCAAAGAAATCACATGCATTTTCTTCCAGCTCCTACAAAACATCAGAAATTTTAGCCAACAAAAAACAAAACTAGCAAGATCTTAAAAACAAAGCATTTCTACACCTTTAAATTAATGGTGACTACCTCTTAAAATGAAATCTATATAAAAAAGCAAACCTGCCACTTACTTGTACAGCGCTGCATAGTACCTGTCTGATACAGTCTGCTGAGAGTCCATCACCTGAAACAGCAACATCAGGGCCTGGACACTGGTACTGAAGTTCGCAAGATGCAGAACTTTGAACAAGGTGTTCATTTGCTCTTTCACTTTCTCATCACCAGTCTCAGCGTAAGGGTAAGCTCTGTTTACCCCACAAAGAAGAGCACTGAGCATTTTGGATTCAACATCTTTTTTCTTAATACAGTTCCGGAAAAAGCAGAAGTACAAAGTTATCAGCTTGTTAGCCAATGCACTTTCCTCATGACTGAGGACTATCTGATTTAGAAAGCAGATAGCATAATATTGAGTTTTCACATTGATGTTTGAGCGGTACAAAAGCCTCTCCACCTCACTGCACACTACTCCCTTCATATTTGGATGCTTGTGAAGTAACGTCTCTAAAAGGTAAGAGGCTTTGGTGGCAATCTTGTTCTGAGGGTCACCCAGTTTATTCACCAGCAGAACCAGCAGAGCTTTCTCCTGCTCGGGCTTGTTACAGAGCAGCTCGTGGGAAACTGCCAGCGCTCGGGATTTTGTGGCTGTCAGACAATCATGGCTCAGTGTTTCCAAGGCCTGCACAAACTCTGCTATCTGCAGCTTCAGGTGATGCTCAAAGTACCAAAGTATCAACCGCCTGTCTCTTGAATCCTTGTTGCCGCTCGACATCTGCACTATGTTGTTAAGCGGTCGCTGCGAGAAAGACCACAATTTCCGATTGTCTGGTAAGATATCTGTAATGAGAAGCTCCTTGAAAGTATCTAAAGCCATAAGGCTCTGCTGCCTGCTGCCCTTTTTCTTTATGAGGTTTATCAAGTTCTCAACGAACTGGAGACTGTGGACAGCACTGTCCTGGATGAGAAGGGTCATCGCTGCCATCCTGTCGGCCAAGGTACCCGAGGACACAACAGTTTTAATCCACGCTGAAGAGGCCCCCTTCTGATAGTCTGTCTTATTCTTAAACAGGTCTGTCTCATGTTCATACAGCTTTTGCGCCAGGGCCTTATACTTGGACAAAAGCGTTTGATTCTGTGGCTCAGGAGAGAATTCACCGGTGTATTCTAGATCATACCACTTGCCCCCCGGTTTGATCAGGATTGCTTGCCTCGCATGAAATTCAAAATCATCTTCCAGCCTTTCCTTCTTTGCGGAAGGCTGTTGGCCCTGATCACCGCCAGACTGCTTCTTCTTGCTGTCTTTCACACTGCTTGCCTTTTCCTTTCCTTTTTTTTTTTCTGTTTTCCCCTCTAGCGAAGGACGATTTGTTTCCTTCTTGCTTTTCTCTTTCTTTGGAGGCTTCTCCTTCTCCTTGCTGCCGCCATCATCATCCTCATCCCCCTCCACCACCAGGCAACTCTTTGCATACTTGTTGAGCCCCAGAGAGCTGACAAACGCCTCCAGCTCCCCTTCCTTCAGGTCATCGATCGTGTCCTTCTTGCCGCCGTCCACCATCTCGGCCTCCGCGTCCAGGGCACACAGCATGAGATAATCTTGCTGCGGAGACAGGACACAGCTGTCACGGGCAGGTCTGGTACAAGGTTTGCCAAAACTCCCAAGGGTTCTCCACAGAATCCCTGAATGGTTTGGGTTGGGAGGGACCTTAAAGACCATCTAGCTCCAACCCCCCTGACGTGTTCAGGGACACCTTGCCCTAGACCAGGTTGCTCAGAGCCCCACGCAGCCTGGCCTTGGGCACCTCCAGGGATGGAGCATCCACAAGTTCTCTGGGTAACCTGTCCCAGTGCCTCACCACCCCTGAGCAAAGAACTTGTTCCCAACATCAGCGTGGGACCCCGCGCACCGGGCGCCCCGCAAGGGCCCTTCCCGGGACGGGGGTCCCGGCCGCCACGTGCTCCGCTCCCCCCCGCCCGCTTCCTTACCTTGGTGCCGCCGAGGCGCAGCACCTCGTCCAGCGTGAACTCTCCCGCATCTCCGCCTTCTGCTTCTTCATCACCGTCATCGTCGCTCTCCTCCTCGCCGCTGTCGCCGCCCGCCTTCCTCCGGTCCCCCACGCCGAAGTCCCAGAGCGCCGCCGCCATCGCCGCCCGCCGGAAAAGCTGCCGCGCACACGCGTGACGCGCGTCCGGCCCGTGCCGCGGCATCTCGCAGGCGGCCGGGACCGCGCCGAGAGCGGGAGGAGGAGGAGGAGGGAGGGGGAAGAAGAAGGCCGAGGAGGAGGAGGAGCGGGAGGAGCAGGACCGCTGCCATGGTGCTGCCGCTCGTGGGCCGCGCGCTCCTGGCGGGCCGCCTGTGGCTCCCCCGTGCCGCCGCCGCTCCCCACGGTGACCGCCGCCTCTCCCCTGCTCTGCCTCCCGCTCGTCTGGGGCCGCCCCGCTGAGCCCCTTCTCTCCCCTGCTCTCCCCACAGCTCCGGCGGCGGCTGCGCGGCTCTGCTCGGGCGCGGGGGGCGCGGCGGAGGCGGCCGGCGGGGACGGGGCGCTGCTGCGGCACCTGGCGCGCAAGCTGCGGGCCAGCGGGCCGGTCACGGTGGCCGAGTACATGCGGGAGGCGCTCACCAACCCCGGCCAGGTGCGGCGGGGCCGGGCCGGGCCGGGGGGGCCGTGGCTCGGCCCCCGCTCACCGCGGCCCCGGCCCGTGTGCCGCTTCCCCCTCGCAGGGTTACTACACGCGCCGCGGCGGCGTCGGTGAGAGCGGGGACTTCATCACCTCGCCTGAAATCAGTCAAGTGTTCGGAGAGGTAACGCAGTTCCCTTTGTCTTAAGTTGTTTGTTTTACTTTACCCACGCGGGCCTTGCTGGAATCCTGGTAGACAGCAAGCCATGAGCCAGCAGCCTGTCCTTGTGGCCAAGAAGGCCATGGAATCCTGGGGTGCATTAGGAAGGGCATTGCCAGCAGGCCAGGGGAGGTGATCCTGCCCCTCTGCCCAGCCCTGGTGAGGCACATCTGGACTGCTGTGTCCAGTCCTGGGCCCCTCAGGGCAAGAGAGACATGGAGCTCCTGGAGTGGCTCCAGTGGAGGGTAACAAAGGGGATTGAGGCACTGGAGCGTCTCTTAGGAGGAAAGGCAGAGGGAGCTGGGCCTGTTCAGCCCCGAGAAGAGGCACTGAGAGGGGAGCTCATCAATGGCTGTGAGTGTCTGAAGGGAGGTGCCAGGAGGATGCAGCCAGGCTCTGCTCACTGGTGCTGAGCAGTAGGACAGGAGGCAACGGGCAGAAAGTGATGCACAGGAAGCTCCACCTGAACACAAAGAAGATCTTTACTGTGCACTGGCACTCAGATTGCTCAGAGAGGTTGTGGAGTTTCCCTCACTGTAGACATTCAGGAGCCATCTGGACACAGTCCTGTGCTGTGTGCTCTAGGATGACCCTGTTGAGCAGGGGGGATGGTCCAGATGGCCCACTGTGGTCCCTTCCAATTTCCATCCCAACTGATTTCCAAGCCAGTGTTCAAATATCTTACCAATGTCAAAATACTGGAGTAGCAATTACAAGGTTCAGGTTATTTCCCAAGAGAAAAATTGGTTTTAAGGGAGGAAGGGCGGTTTTGTTTTTCAGAAAGTCCTTTGTCTGAAACACCATCTGTGCTTAGTAACACTTTAATACAGAACTTGCTTAAAAAGGGTTATGGTGATTTTCCAGTGTGAAACTCCCTTGAAAAATAATCTCCAGAGTTTGGTCTGGCTCACACTTTGTTTCCAGAGGTGAAGAGTAGCTAAATCCTGTTCCCAATGATGCTTTAGTAAATGCATTGTCAGGAAGAAGAGTTGTACAAAGGCACCTGGGCAGTGACTTGCATTTGAGCCAAGTTCTTGCTCCAGCCAGAACAAACTCTCCACATTTACTGATGGAGAGTTGCTTCTGCTGGGCTGACAGCAGTCCATGACCAATTTTAATACTTAAAGACAAGAATGTGAAGTTATGTATCATAATTCTTCCTAACTTAAAGATTATTCTTCACTTTAAAATACCCAGACAGAATGTTGCCATGTCTTAGTTATTTTAGGCATGATTTCCCACAAGTGCTGAAGTTATTACTGTAACCTGTGTGTTGTTTCTCACTGGCAGTTAATAGGAATATGGTACATTAGTGAATGGATGGCCATGGGCAAACCGAACACCTTCCAGCTGGTGGAGCTGGGTCCAGGGAGGGGCACCCTCACTGAGGATATATTGCGGGTAGGTGAAAACTGTTCATGTTCTTTGTTTCTGGCTCTGTTCCATAGCTACAGTGAAATCTGAAGGGAAGATGTTTTGCTGTCAGTAGTAGCCTGTTTTGCCCTAGTAGCCAGATCAGTCAGGTTGGCATCTCAGATTCTAATTAGAATAGATGAGTTTCTGGGACTCAGGACTCTGAGGTGGAAGCAGAACAGGGGCCAGTGTGTTTTTACTCTGCACAGACACACCTGTGACCTTCCAAACATGACTGGACAAAAGGGGAAGGCAGGAATATTCAATTGGAAATTACTTCTGTGTAGAGAAATGTTATCCAAACTGAAAACCATCTAGGAAGGTGTTGCTATGTGTAACTGGGATGGAAACCTTAGTGCAAGGAGCAGAACAGGGGAGTACAGTAACACAGAATGAAATTGTGTTTGGGCATTCCAGGGCCTTATTTCTTTTGAGTTAATGCTTTGTGTTCAAAGCATGGCTGTCTTAATTAAAAAGCTGCTGATTAATAAACAGATTACCAATGGAATTCAGCACCACATAAGAACTTTTATTCTATTTACATGTGTTAATGAAAACAGTGAAATGTGGGATATCAAACACTTGTTTAAGGTGGCAGGGAAAACAGAACCATTTCTCTCCTAATGCTAGACGTTCTATAGGTCTTAGAGGAGCTGCTACAACTCTTCCTAATTATCATTTCATGTTGTTGACTTTACAGCCCTGTAATGTGTAGCCATTTTTTTTGAAGTGTAGAAGCTTTTATTAAGATTTATGAAGAAACTCACACTTCCTACTGAAGGAGAAAAATGCAGTCTCTCTCACTGAGATTGTTTTGTTAGTGAAAGCCAACTAAAATCTTTTATCTTGAATAATTAATAGTGAATAGTAAATAGTGAGAAGAAAGGTTAATACTTAAACCTTTAATTTACTCAGCAGAAGACTGTGGCTAATAGAATTCATCTGCCTTTCTAGGTCTTCAAGCAGCTCGCCTCTGTTCTTAGTAAATGTGATGTCTCTGTTCATCTGGTAGAAGTGAGCCCCAAACTCAGTGAGATCCAAGCAGTGATGCTGACAGGAGGGGCGGTGCAGCCAAACCCTGAGGATGAGTCTGCTTACATGAAAGGCATTAGCAAGACTGGAATTCCCATTTTTTGGTACAGAGACATTCAAGATGTGCCACCAGGTAAGGAGCTTGAATGCCTTGTTGAAGGGATGGTGCCTGTCCTTCACTGACAGCTTTTGATAGCAGGGGGTATCTCTACTAGCCTTCACATTGGACAGAAAAGTAGTTATATACATATTTGTTCTCACTTGTATGAGTCTGAGGCAGGATCTTGGTTCATTTTCATCACTGCTATCTGTTCTGTCTACCTTCATTTAGGGATAGCTACCCAATTTCCTATATTCTGACTTTTAATGGGGAAAAAAAAAACCCAAACCTTTATTGGCTTTGCCCAAATCTCCTTTCACAAGACAGTGATCTAAAATTCATGGTCTGGAAGCTAGAGCTAGCTGTAGAAATGGTATCTTTAATGTGTGCAAGTGGAAGTAATTATAATTATTTCATAACCACATTAACTAGCTTAATTCATTAAAAATCAAAAATTCTTTAAACTGGAAGCTGCTCTGGAAACCTTAATAATTTAATGCATTCTTTTTTCCTTCCCACAGGTTACAGCTTTTACCTAGCACATGAGTTCTTTGATGCCCTGCCAATACATAAGTTTCAGGTATAGCAAGATTATTGTAATTGTGACCATCTGCTTAAACACCTTTTCTCTTTGAGGAAGAACAGAATTAAGGTACCAGACCAGACACATGCCCTGTCTCTGAGGATTAAATAATTCTAACTGAATTTGGACAAATAAGGCTTAATTCAGCTGATAACAGTAAAATTAGCAATTATTATTGAGTATAACTTGAAGAAATATAACTGAATTGAGCATATATATATATTACATCCCTAATATAATAATACAATATAATATAATATAAATTATAATTGAATGTAACTTGAAGAAAGATAAAGATTTCTTTCTGCTGAGAAAACTCTTAACGTTTTGGGGTTTTTTATTTCTTATGCTACATTAATGCAGCTTTTAATTTCTACATGATTTTCTGTAATACTACTAACAAAAAACAAGGGCTTTCATTTGAATAGTAATGAGAGCAGCAAAATAGAGCCTAGTTATGATTCAGCAGTAGATAATTTATGGAAATCACCAGTAGAATCAAATCTTTTATTTTGATAAGTTAAATGTTGCACTGTCAATAGGAGAGGCAGCATCTTTTTTCAGAGCATTATTAATTCCTTTAAAGTATAATTAAAGCTGTATTTGTTGGCTCTGCAAATGAGACTCCACCACAAGCTTTTTCTAAGGCAGTTACTAGAATTAAATAGGAACGAGTAATAGTGGTTAATAATGTATTGCTCCTAAACCCTTTGTGAAAAGGCTTGACATATTAGTTCAATCAAATGAACAGGATACTCCTGTTGGAGTGTAACATGAGTACTTTGGGCTCGTTGAACAGCGAACGGAGAAAGGCTGGCGTGAGGTGTTGGTGGATATTGATCCAGAAGTTCCTGACCAGCTGCGGTTTGTCCTGTCACCATCCAGGACCCCTGCGACACAAAACTTTATTCAGGTGAGGTTCTGCCTACCAGAGCTCATCCTTACACCTTTATTGACTCTTTCAACTACATGTAGTGCTTTCTCAGTTACTCTGACAGCAAGAGGCTCTCAGGCTATAAATGAATAGAGCTTAAAATGTCCACAAGCATTTAGCTTTGTGTGCTGTGAAACTACAGCACAGAAATTACCACAAGTATCAAACTTTGCAAAATAGGAGCTTGAACACACAAAATGTCTCAGAGAGCAAACCAAGGCAGAAGTGACAGGCAGAGTTCTGCACTGTGCGTGTGGCATCACATCTCAAGAGTGGCCCTGCCCCAGTCAGGCTTTCAGCCTGCTGAAGGGTACTCAGGGCAGCTGCCTGCTTCTGTGCCAGGCTGACCTTTAACAGGAAGCGGCTGTGGTTTCTTCCTGAAGTGCACTGGATACTCAAAGCTGAGTAATTAAGTACCAGAGATTAAATGAGCTACTAAGTCTCACACAGCACTATCTTCCTGAAGTACCACAGTAAGGAAGTTTCACCTGATACAGATACTCTTGGTAGAAAAATTTTCATTTGACTACAGGTTATTAAAGAGGTGACTGAAATCCAGCACTCAGAAAATACTAATTGAGAATGAGTGATAGCAAAAACTAGCTCAAGCTAGTATAGGTAGCCTAGAAATCACCTCCTGTACCTGCGTGTCCCAGCAAAGCAGCAGCCCCAAGACACCAAGTGTGAGGGATACTTGCTTTGTGCTTGTCTGCTAATACAGGTGTTCTGGTCTTTGAACTCTGCACTAGCCAGAAGAAACAAGAGACCACGTGGAAGTGTGTCCTGAAGCTGGTGCCATTGTGCAGAGGCTTGCCTGCCGGATAGAGAAGGATGGGGGGGCTGCTCTGGTTGCAGATTATGGCCACGATGGAACCAAAACAGACACTTTCAGGGTAAGGCATTTGCCCTGCAGCAATAAGCCGAAAGACTCTTGTTATCTTTGATCGTTAGGTTCTTGTAAGATACAGTTTGTAGGTGGGCATAATAGCAAAAACTGCTTAAAACTGAGTAATTCCTATTTAATCAGCACCCAGAAAGGTTTCTGTCAGACGGAAAGGGTAATCTGAGCTCTTGCTCCATTTATCTCAAATTTTCTGTGTGTAATTTGCTATTGTCACCCCTCAAAGGCACAGCTTAATTTTTGCTGGCTATGATGGTTGGACTACAGCTGAGTGTAATGTTCCAATTTCATTTTCAGGGTTTCAGGAATCACAAACTTCATGATGTGCTGAGTGCTCCAGGTACAGCAGACCTGACAGCAGATGTTGATTTCAGCTACCTTCGAAAGATGGCACAGGGCAAAACAGCCACGTTAGGCCCCATAAAGCAGCGGGAGTTTCTAAAGAACATGGGCATTAACCTCCGACTGCAGGTACAAGAGTGCTCACAGCTACAGAACTCTCCCAGTCCACAGGCAATACTCTTGAGCAGCATGAGAGCTTTAGTAAAAATCTTTGGCTTTAAAATGAAGTTGTTCAAAATTAACATGTAGGTATGAGATCAGAAAGTTGCTTCTGCTACATGTTAGTTACTCCAGATCCCTGAAAGTAAAATGATCATATTATATTTGGGAGCAGTTAATACAAAACTTGCATCAGTGTATGGGCTGTGGACCACCACCTGTGATCTCACCAGTTCTGCCAACCATCACAGTACTGTTAAGTTAAAGGGATGCAAGAAGAGATTGCAGGTATACAGGAAGGGCTCAACCTGCTTTTTTTTTTTTTTCCAGGTGCTCTTGCAGAATTCAGGTGACACAGCAACTCGTGAGCAGTTACTTCACAGCTATGATATGCTGATGAATCCCGAGAAGATGGGGGACTGTTTTAATTTTTTTGCCCTGCTGCCTCACCACAGACTTGTACATCCTGACAAGAAAGATAAGCCAGAATCAAAGTCTCCCCTACCACCTGTTGCTGGATTTAATGAACTGTTACTAAAGTAATTTCAAATACTGCTGCAAAATGTGTGATGGGTGTTTCAGAATAAGTCTGGTGCAGCACACCAGAACTCTTGACTGACCTACTTAAAGCAGTATGAGTGGAAATAAAACACTGCAGATAAAGAAACCAGCACACAACAGAGCAGAGAATGAGCAATGCTTTAGGGGTCTTATGATAGAACTGAGTGAAATATTTACTGGTGGAACCAAAACTTGTCAATACCATAAGGAGTCTTTAAATATGTTCAAGCTTTGGTACTTGAATAAAATCAAGATGCCTTGACACCTTTAAGGATATTTTTATAAAGAGAATAGTGACAGAATGCACGTAAAAGGAGTTCCTGCCAGCAGAATTTCCGCAGCAGGACATATCTAATAACAAATCCACAAACAAGAAAGTATAGAGCCATTTACTCCCAAGAACATTTGATAGGAGAGATAATTCACATCAATAAAAAGGAGTCTGATAGGGAAATAAATTTTATTTTCAAGCTTACCAGAGGATATTTACAAACAATGGGGTGTATAAAAATATAAAAGTACTTGACAGTGTCATTTTGAGGCTATAAATTTTACATGAGCTTTTTTCTAGCATCACCATAGCACTATTGCTTGAATGAATGCAACTTAATTCTTCTAGGGGTAAGGGTATTAAACACTGTAACCTACTGCTGTCAAAGTCTGCAGTAAAGGTAGAAAAAAGGGAGTAAAAAACTCAGCTATTTTTACTACTCTAGGAATTTTACTCATAATATAAGTCTGATTTTTTGGTTTCTTGACTACTAGCTGCTTGTGGCTTCTATTGTCTGGCCCCGTAAGTCTGCATATGATCAGGCAATCTCCTCCAAAGGCCAACAACATTATTTTTAATACAACTTGAAGAATAAATAGCTCATATAATATTTTGAAGCAGAGCAGACTTCATGGGGAGAGACAAAAGCCAGTCCTTCTACTTCAGTATTTTCCCCTCCTTCCTCTATTCCTGTTGTGCTTTTTCAAGTGACTGAGCTGCTTTATTTCCTCCCTTAAAATAACACAGTAACAGCTCAAGTAAAAAAACCCTGAAGTTTAAAACCAAACTGTATCTACGTTATTACAGTTAGGATGGAATATAGCAATGACTTCACTGAAATTTGGTCACTTGAGCACTGGAAGTTGAAAAATAGCACTGCTTTCCTTGCCAAGAGCAGGCAAATACCAAACTACCAATGTCAGAGGTGATTGCTCTGGTTACAGATGTGACAAACAGTGCCTCTTTGAACAATCAGTCCTGAAACCCTCCCTAAACAGGGTTAAGAATCCAGATCTCAGCCTTTGCCAACACAGAGACCTACAAAATGCAGTGGCAGATAGATAAAGGGCAGTGGAAAAAGGAAGAGTGAGTTAGAGACCAAACCTACCTGTGGGCACATCCTTCTGCAGCTGCCACTGACCACTGCTACTTCAAGTAGCTGCCAGCTCTGAACTAACCATGTAACATTTTAGGTATATCTAACAACTTAAAAATCTCCTCACCTGTTTCCTTACCTGAATAACAGTAGAAAATAAAATACTTATTTATACACAAACAAAAAAAGAAAAATCTTTGTAGGAGAGAGGAGATACCCAAAAGCCTCTCACTGCCTTTGCAGTTCAAGCCTGTATCAGTATTTTGGAAATACTTCCAACTAAGCTCTAGTTAAGCAGCTTGGCACATCAGGGATGCAATACAGCCATCCAGCACCTCAACACTGTTATCCCACAAAAAAAGGATTTCACCCTTTTTGGTTTTTAAAACAAAAAACTCTCTTCCATTTGCATTTAAACAATTTAAATTTGCCTCAAACTTCTTTGAAATACCATTAACTTGAACTTTCCAAGGGAATAATTTCCAAAGAACACTGCTGTCACCCCTCTATTGTGCCACAAGTCCAGTCAGTGTTTGCTAATCCTTCAATTGAGGCATGTGCACAGAAAAAACTGAGAAGTTGCTTTTGGACTGTTCATTCAGCTCAAACAGTTCTGAGCACAGTAAAGAGGATGGGAGGGGCTGCAGGTTAAGGTGGGAAGGCAAAGTCCTTTCTCCTACAATCCAGCTGCCCTGGCAGAAGCAACAGGCGATGTGGAATCCACTGTTAACTTCCAGGTTTTGAGTAGAGTTAACATAACAAGCTAGCAGGCTACAAACTACTCCTGATGTAAGTCCAGGGAACCTTAAAAAATTAGAAAAATTTTAAAATCTTATTACTCAAAACGACAGAAGAAAGCTGCATGTATTTTTCCCTATTTTTCCACATCCTTCTGCTAGAAGCTGATCTTCCAGAGTGAAAGAATATGCTACATCAAGTCTTGTGTGCTCTCTCTGCATTACTTGTGTAGTTTTAAGGCAAAATGCCTTAGGTGTGTATCAATGACATGCCAGCCTTGCCCAGCAGCACACTATTGTGGCTTATTGCTTTTTTTAACAGACAAAAGCCTAGCACAGCTTTGACTGTCATCTCAGACTGTCAGCCAGCACTTCAAGAGGAATGTAAGAAGTTACAGGGGTTTTTTTTGCTTTTTTTTTTGTGTTTTTTGTTGCTATCTGTAAAAAGTTCAATTAGGGCCAAGACACACATATATTTAACTGTCTAAACAGCAGCAAATAATTCCTTCATCTATGAAGCTGTATTCAACTAAACCACCCAGTTTTGCTTTAGCCAAGGTATTCTGTACTGATTTCTTTATGGAGTCTCTTCACCATCCACAGTTTGAGAAACAGGAGATGTATCTAAGCAACAGAAAACAGTCCTCTATGGCCTAGTAAAAAGGGATTAGAAAACTAGTACAAAACTCTTACTGCATAGGCTATGAAAAAAACAAAAGCCCTTGAAGAACACCAACCATTCAGTCTGTACACACTGCTCCTCAGTAATGGCTTTGTAGCCACCCAGCTCGATGAAACGTTACCCAACAGGGCTTTTTATCCCACTGTCCAGTAACCACTCAGAGTTCAAGTCAGGGATGGAGAAAAGCAGATGACAGTCTATTCCCATGGCAATGCAGGATCCTCTGGGGCTTTACACAGCAAACTGTGTGTACAGCATTTGGAAAGAGCAATAGCTGTTCCAAAACTTAGCTTCAGTTTCTGCCTGGCGTATCCTTCTTTACTGCAATTTAGCGTAATGAACAGTTCAAGGGTCTTCTTCCATGTCATCTGGATTAGGAGCCATAATGAAGTGCTGGGGGTACTCGAGGTTGTGTTCGTAAGCGTGTTCTTTCCAGCGTGCATCGTCGCTCTCGTGGGTAATGTAACGCTCTCCAATGCGTGTTTCAAATTCTCTGAGGTCAAGCCAAGTCTGATAATCCTAAGGAGTAAAGGAGATTTAAGGAAGCAGTTTTAAGAAACACCTGCACTACATTCCCACAGATAAATTCTGCAGTTTGTCTCTAGTGTAAATAACCACAAGATATAACAACAAGATCTGTTAAAAATAAATAAATAAATAAAACCAAAACCAAACACCCTCCCACAATATGCCCCAACACTGTCCACAAAGAATAGTTCAAAACTAAACAGGCTAGTATCTAAGGTTGTCAAAGCAGCAGATAAAATCCATTCCAAACAAACCTGTTCTAAACAGACTACAAGTTATGGCACACACCAGGCTGTGTGTCCACTTCAGCACTGAACAAACAGTGTTTGCCTCCATGCTGATTTCACAGGGCTCCATGCACTCAGCACTGCCCACAGTTGGGGGGAAGCCAGGAGAGTAAACCCATGTTGTCAGACAGAAAGGAAAAGGTGGGAGGGACAGTAGGACAAATTTCCCTTGAGGAAAGAGCCATTCACAGATGGTCAGAACCCTGGAGCTCATCAAATGCAAAGCTAAAACCAGAAATACTCCAGCCTTCATGAATGCTTGTTAGCAGCATGTGACAGCTGCAATTTTCATAAGCCTCTGAAGGATTTCAGACAAAAAATTATTCACCCATTATAAACACAGCAAAAAAGGCAAGTGGGTTTACCTGTAACCATGGGTGACTAAGGGACTTGTCAACACTGAAACGTTTTCTCATCTTCACTTGAAGCAAATTGTTTATTAAATCGATGGCTGACAGAGAACAACAAAAATTATAATGTTTAAATACTAATCACTTCTCTCATCTTTCACATGCTGCAGTAGAAATTAATTTTTTATGTGTGAGTGTATTCTCCAATGAACTCCTTTAAATTTAACCAAGCTCTTGAATTTTTAATTTTGCTTTATGTTAAATAAGGCTACAAAATAAGGATGGAGTAAGTTCCCTCTACTTTTGATGGAAATACTAAAAGCTTTACTGCGTTATTGGTTAATCTTTTTCCCCTACTAATTTTAGTGATTTCAGATAAGAGCATAATCCCATGTTCCACAATGATACAAGTACTTCCACTATTGTGTACTTTTGTATCTATCCTTCCACATCTACCTATGTATTAATCAAACATGGTAACAACATATAACCAAAGCTGGCACTGGAGAGCTCTAGAGACCAGCCTTGTAAACCTCTAGGTTGTTCAGACCTGACCCTTAAATCTGTACTTCCTAATGTACAAACTAGAATTCCAGATTCAACTTTGAACCGTTTCTGTGATTATAGTTCAGATAAAATATGCCAGCATTCAGCAAATACCCACAAATTAATTAACTTTCCTTTGGGACTTCTGGGATGTGTCAGACTACTCATCCCACTCATCATGCATGAAATTAATTTTTCTTGCTAAATCTCCTGACTCCCCTGCCCAGAAGATGATCTAAAGCATTATATTTCACGATTTATCTTTCAAAGATACATTTACCTCATATTTATCCACTTTGGCATAGTCTACTAAACTCCAGCTATCGATAATTTTCACCTTCCTAAACAAACCTTGATGTTTAAGCATTTGAATGTGTTACCTACACACACAAACATTCTAATAGAGAAAATTCATTCTTTACCTTCACTAGAAATTTCCTTCCAAGGATTTGGTGGGTACATAAATGCTGCATTTTGAATCTGATCATTGATATCC